CACCATCACCACCACCACCATCACCACCACCACCACCATGACAACCACCATCACCACCATCATCATCACAACCACCATCACCACCACCATCACCACCATCACCACCACCACCACATTATGGACAATAGCCCAATGTTTCCTGAGTTACCTACAGGGTTGAAAGAGAATAGGACCTAGAGAGATCTTATAGTTGTGACAGGCACTCATTAATTCAATCCAGTGACAACAGACCAGATGGAAACGAGGATGCCTTGAGAGATGTAAGTGTGCAAGCATGGACAGGCGCAGCTGCTGACTGGGCACTCGGAAAACCGCATGGACACACACAAAGCCCCTGGAAGACGTTTTCAAGGGGTTAGTTTGTGCTGGGATCCAGAATTGGCTGAAGAAACCATGAGCTGACATAAAATTTCCGCCACCTATCAGAATGGAGGCTCCATTTAGAAATTAAAATGTATACTTAAAAGCGTAAATTATGAATGCTTCATTTTTTTCTTTTCTTTATTATTATTATTATTTTTACAGAGTTTCACTCTTGTTGCTCAGGTTGAAGTGCAACGGCGTGATCTCAGCTCACTGCAAACTCGGCCTCCTGGGGTTCAAGTGATTCTCCTGCCTCAGCCTCCCAAGTAGCTGGGATTACAGGTGTGCACCACCACGCCAGGCTTATTTTGTATTTTTAGTAGAGATGGGGATTCACCATGTTGGTCAGGCTGGTCTTGAACTCCTGACCTCAAGTGATCCACTCACCTCAGCCTCCCAAAGTGCTAAGATTATGGGCATGAGCCACCACACCCGGCCAAATGCTTCATTTCTTACACATCTGAGTTGGCCATCTGAAATGTAGTTTCTACTACACAGGACTATGGCAAGGATTACAGGAAACCACCACATAACTCCCTAGTATCATATCTGCTGTGTAATCAGGCCACAGCAGATCGTAGCTGGATATTTTCCATTTTCCTCCGGATCTGCTCTGACCCTTCTCCACTGGACCTCAGCTGTGGGAAGCTGACCTCCTGGATTGCATGCAATGGGCGTAATTGCCCAATGGGAGGCAGCAACAGGAAATGGGAGGGTCTGGGAGGGAAGAGCTAGTAGGTATTCACTCTGTGGTTCTGGCAATGGCTGTATTTCTTGCAGTTCCTGCCTGGTGGCCCCTTCCTACAGGTAAAGCTCTCACTGAGGTTCTGCCTGCTCTCTCTGCTCCTCCAGGTGTCAGGGTGGCAGGGCATTCCTGCTCTTGCTGGCCTCAGATGCTTCCCTTCTTGTATGCCCTTAACCCTGTGCCAACTTCTGTAAATAGTCCCTTCATTAGACTCTCAGGAACCACCTCTTCGGAGAATGCCACTGTTTCCTGTGCGGACCCTGGATGATACAACTATTATTAGTATTGCCTTTAGTTTGAGATCACATCTGATTCTCTGTGTGATCCTATAGAGCTGATGACCCTTTCTGAGCCTCAGTTTCTTCATTTTTTAAATGAGAATGCAATACTCCTGGCTCTCCTATGTCAGAGGGCTATTGTGGGAATTAAACGAATCAATATAAGTGACAATATTCTGGGGGAAAAATAAATTTTATTATTAAAATAAAACAAAAATAAAAACTTGTGACTCTATTATTAGAATTACTAAAAGTAACAATAGAAATGATTGTCTCTGCCCAGAGATCTCCTCTGATCCCTCTCTCTTCAACACAATAGCAGTAACTCAGTCTTTGGTTCTCGGCAAAGCCATTGTCCTTTTCTGCAAAGTCCTATGCTGCTGAAAGATGAAACTTTGTGATCAGATACTACACACAATTCTCGGAGCTCCTGCCACCATTTGACAAATGCCGCTGGGGGCTCTGGGCTGTGCTGCAGCCCCTCAGAGCAGACCCAGGCCTGACCTTGCAGCCTCTGGGCTCTGTTTGCTGCTCGCGCAGACCTACTGAGAACCAGCCTGTGGCCCTGGCTGAAGCCACTGAGCACCCAGAATCCCTCCAGGATCTTGCCAGGTGCGATGGCTCACACCTGTAATTCCAGCACTTTGGGAGGCCAAGGCAGGTGGATCACCTGAGGTCAGGAGCTCAAGACCAGCCTGGCTAACATGGTGAAACCCCGTTTCTACTAAAAACACAAAAATCAGCTGGGCATGGTGGCATGTGCCTATAACCCCAGCTGCTGAGCAGGAGAATTGCTTGAACCTGGAAGGTGGGGGTTGCAGTGAGCCAGGATCACAATACTGCACTCCAGGCCTGGGCAACAAAGTGAGACTCCGTCTTAAAAAAAAAGATATCTAGGCCTCCAGTTGTTTAAAGTCAGGAGTCATACCCCTGGAGCTGCAGAAAAAAGTATCCTGAATCAATCTAGGACTATGTTCTGTTGCATGATGCAGAAAGCTGCCTGCAGTGGATTATTTGAACAGGTTTCTCTTATTTCTTTTGCTTCTTTTTACTTGTAAAAAGGCCTAGAGATAGGCAGCCCTGGACTGTTGCAGCTACTCAAGAAGCTGTGGCCTTTGCGCTCCTGGAGCTCAGATGGCAGCTGACCTCCAGGTATCCGTCATTCACATCTGACACAGGAAGGAGAGGGAAGGAGCAAGGGCGAGGATCTAAATGGAGAGTCCAGTGAGGTTCATTCCTTTTCAAAAGCTGACCCGAAGTCTCAGCTCAGGACATCACTAGCACATCTGGGTTACATGGGCTTCTACAGTCTAGCCTGGGAATCTAGGCTCTCACTAACTACATCATGCCCATTGGAAAGTCT